TGAGAATTCTTTTTCCACACTTTGCTATGTCAGCCAGGGCCTGCAGGGATCATTTCCTTCATGAAAGGCATGCTAGGTTCTTAGATGGAAGCTATTGCAAGAGCTTTGTTACATTTAGGTACTGCTTAATCCAAATGTTTTGGTGAGTTCTGCCTGGTAGTTTATTATCCAGCTTTAGGCTAATAACCAAAAGAACAAATCTGAGCATTTTAGTTTCCTTGGCTTTTTTGGTTTGTTTAACAGATCTCAGTGGTACTGAGAGGTGCTTCAGTGAATAGAGACTGGGAAAGAATCAGTGTCAATGTAGTTATGCCAGTTTATGTACCTGAGAACCCGGCTAGAGGCATCCTGGCTGACACTGCTTGCTGTATTTAGTCTCAACATGAGGTGGCATTGGTGCAGCTCAGGGTGTCAGTAGGAGTGAATCCACAAGTAGCATGCAGTGCTCCTCCAAGGAAGATTTCTGGAAGATGCTTCTGGGGCAGTTACTCATCACACCCCACAGCTGGCAAAGCGGGGTATTCAAGCTTGTCTCCCTCCACATGAATCTGGGCACAGGGCTTGTCAGTATTAGTAACAGTGAGCTCAACTCAAAGGCCAGGAATCATTTTGCTGGATGCTGCACAGTGAAGACCCAAACAGTGATCTCCACTCCAGTGATTTTAGAGTGTTTCAGTGGGAGAAGAGCAGAGGAAGGATGGTCAATGGGGCAGGCCATGAGTTGGCTGAATGCCCAGGGCAGGCAGTGTACAAGATGCACACATCAGTAACAAGGCTCAACAAACAGCAATGGTGTAATTTTCCACAATGGAAGAGATAAAATGCTCTTCTTGTGTTTAGGCCAATGTCCTAATGGCTGTGTCAAAGGTTCAGCTTCCCGCTGGTGGAAGAATCCTAAATAATTTTGAAGCCTGCTAAACTTTTTCCTTGTGTGAAGGCTACCAGTAACTGTATGTAGGCACTCTAAGCTGAGCCATATGTGTGTAAGCTGTCTATATGCACACATAGCCAGGCTATGCCTTTTGCATTGTGAACTCTGCTGAAATTATATGTTTATAGAGCAAGAATAAAAATGAAGCATTCAGGGAAGGATGGGGTTTTATTAGTTATAGTAAAGAAACTTGGCTTCCTGACCCTACTGTTGACTGGGGACATGTTTAGGGTCTGGGAGTGGAACATACTTCATTTCCCATTAGCATCTGCTGAGGATGTTATCAGTCCTTATGTCCAAGGAAGTACACTCAGATTCAGCCAAACTGGGTCTCATTTCCAGCTTTATTCCGGCCTTCCAGCATAATAACAGATGTTATTACGCTGGAAGAAAAGGAAGGCAAGGAAGAAAATTCCCTGTACTGAGAACTTTGAAGGTCTGCACAGTTCCTAAGTCCAAAGTAAAGTTTTGTAATAAACATCTGTGATCTTTAAAAATGCACATCCAAGCAGGTAGGAGAGGAAGCTAGAATAAGAATGAATGACAAGATGAAGGCATAAATACTATTTTCAAATTAAGTAAAATTGTGTAATTAACCCAAAATTTCACACTTCTTTTTCCTGTTGTTTCTAGATTTTGAACCCACCTCCTTCCCCAGCTACTGATCGCTCCTTATACAACGCAGAGATGTTTTATTCCTCAAACATTCCTTCAAACACAAGATCTTACAGGTACAGGTCAGATAAAAAGGCTTGCTAAATCTTCTCTTTGTCAACTTTCCTTGAGTTTTGGAGCTTGTTAAAACTTCATTTAAAAATCTTTTCCTCTCTTGATAAATGACCGTTCAAATTATGTACATTATATTGCTATGTAACAGTCCCTGAGCATCCTGTATAGAGATTGTTTTTCTGCTCATTCCCTTAAGCTTATCTTGAAACTCTTTCATGAGTCAACCTATTTGTCAGTGGCTGGGCTAAGTGGTCATAGTGGTCTCCTCTGTTAGGTTAGGGGCTGGAAAAATGTGCTGCTGGCTGAGGGTAGTTGTGCCGTTCAAAATTGACACAGTTCAGGTACTTCTTGTTGTATTTCTCTGAGAGTCTGAATTAAGGCTTGTGTAGTACTAATGAAGAGGCATCTTGACTGAACACACAGAGCAATTCAATCTCTTTTCTTTCTTTCCTCCCCAGATTGCAACTAATGCATGTGCTTTTTTCTTTTTTTTGTTTTTTGTGCAGGCCGTACCTTATACGAGGGATTGCTCCACCCACAACCCCATGCAGCACAGATGTCTGTGACAGTGACTATACTACGAGTCGATGGAAGGCCAACAAATACTACATAGATTTAAATTCAGACTCAGACCCTTATCCCCCTCCACCCACACCTCGCAGTCAGTACATGTCGGCAGAAGAAAGTTGCCCTCCATCTCCTGCCACGGAACGAAGCTATTTTCACCTCTACCCCCCTCCACCCTCTCCTTGTACAGACTCTTCATGACCTCAACAGAAGGAACTTTTCCTGTAAATATTTTAAAATATGAACAGATTTAAAATATATATTTTATGATTTAAAAATAAATCTGGGTGGGAATTAAACAAAACTAAATGTGAATAAAAATGGGTTGGAGGGGTGGGGCTGTGAAAAATTGTACAGAGGAAGAATATTTATAAAATTGATTTTTTTAACTTAATTTCAATTCTTTTGTGCCATATTTGCCTTTTTGAAGTCATGTAACTGACTCAGTCTCCAAAGGATTTGGGGAGGGAATGTTGAAACTTTCTGCATTTTTAAGTCACCTTCTTACATGCAAAAAGTGTATGTAGTTATTTTTGTTAATGTAAGACAAGAAAACTAAGTGGCTTGTTGGAAGGGAGGTCATCTGAAGAAAATGTAGGCTTATTCTTAGAGAAGAAAAACTCATTTAATTACACTTGTCAGTATCATCCCTTCACCACCACTGGAAGAAAACGTGCAGGATCACAACCCTTAGATGCTCCTGTTTGCAAGCGAGCTGAATGCTTTCCAGCAGAACTTGAGTGCCAAGACATGAATTTCAAACCTCCCTCTCCATCTGCTTAGTGTTGAACAGAAAGAACACTTCTCTTGGCCAAACCTTCCAGCTTAACTGAACCCACAGGCATCATGTCCTACCTCATGTCAGTGGCACTCTGCACATGGCTGATTCTGATTCAGGCTGAAAAATATCTGTCCTAAAAAATTTGGTTTAGTCCCAACCAGTTCCCCACCTGACCGGGTGAATTGTAGCAGAAGCAGTTGTACTGACCTGTGGATGAGAGCAAGGGTCAAGTTTAAAGTGGTATTTAAGCTAAGAGAAATGCCCAACAAATTGCAGATTTGGTCAGAGTCACCATTTTAATAGTGATGCAACCTAGCTCCTTCATCCTTCCTTGTGAAGCTTTGGTGACTGTCTGAGAAGAAGCTGTAACAGTCAGCTGCTTCTTAAAACACAGTGCTAGTCTTCTTTTTCTCAAGTGTCCTGTAATCACTGTGCCAGATTTCTGAGGTGTTCACACATGTTAACTTGATCAGAGAATTGCTTTGTGTCTTAATATTCATTTTCCAAAGTGGAACAAAATAGTCATTTGTATTCAAATGAGGAAAGTTTTTTGGGTTTTAACTGATGTTTGTAGAAAAAACGGTATCAGCATAGCTCAAGTAAAAAATCGGTCCAGTCATATCCCATAAAAACTTGCCACATGATTCAGATTTAGAAATAGATAGAAAAAAGAACAGAGGAAGGAGAAAAGACACACTTTTTTCTATTCATGCTGATATAAAAATAATTAACTCATACAAACTGGTATAATCTCAGGACATCAAGATCAGCAATGTGCTTGTTCCCATTCCTACAAAAAAAAACCCATTAGGGAATGGGGGAGCTAGAATTGGTCCCATTCAGATTCAGAAGATAAATTTTGGCTTTAACTGTTCTTTCTCTGTAGCAAAAAGGGTTGGGTATTGTATGGCACTTTATAAATTCAGTACCAGTGATGATAATGTGAGTGCCTGCTTGGGACATCTGAGGCAAGCTCTGAATATGCAAACTTGCACCTGTTTCTGCAGCTGCTCAATAACAGATGTGTTGGGCCTTCAACAGCTTTAATATTGATGGCAACAATGAAAATTTTTTCTTGTTTGAACTAAAATTGTACTTGGCTTTGGGTCTTTTTAGCAAGTTATTTGAAAGCACATCAGAGGAACCCTACAGCTCCAGGAGAGAGGTCTTGGTTGTGGTAGTAGAAGGGCTGGTACCACAGTGTTCTGATCCACTTTGTGTTTTCAGATTTATTAGTCCAGATCTGTTCTTTCTGTCTGCATAGTTCAAGGATAGGATTTGTGCTGCCACTGGTGTACTACTAAAATTCCTAAAGCAGCATTTACTACCTTTATGTCTAAATTTTTTAAAGCACAAATAAGATGATTTTTCATAGAGAAAAGTATATAAATGGAGTTTCAGAACAGGTTCTTTCCTCATTTGCTATCAACATTAGTAATTTTGTACTATGCTGTGATGGGCAAGGGTATAGTTTGTTACTCTTGGAGTGACTTAGCCAGTCTCTGAACTGATGGTTTGGTAAGAGAAAGCAATTTTCATGTGATCATGTTTCAGTTAACTAAATTAGGAATATAGATCCACAGCTCATGTGCCACATGAGTTGTATAAAATAGTATTTGTTCTGCATTACAGCAGGTGGTGGTCCAATTTTATATCATAAGTAATTTTCTGCTTGATAACTATTCCCTGTTTATAATGAATTCATTAGTTGTTTCATGTCACAGTTCTAGAAGAGATATACCACGTTCATTTTCCTGTATTCCTGTGATGCAGAAGTACTTAATTTTTTTTTTCATTAAACCCCTGATCTTTTTAAAGAGCCATAGCTATAAGAATCCTAACCACTTCATCTGAGGATTTGTATCCTATCACAAACATTGCAATTGAGTCCAAGCAAACTAGCATTTTTTACTGAGAGCTGAATGTGACTTAAGAGTCACATTTTTTTGGAGCTTGGGTTTTAAGAAGGAAGAAAGCACTTGCTGAATTGGGTGAATTAAGTATACATTTTTATTTCAGTTGAACATACATAGCCTCTTGCTCTTGATGTTTGCTGGGGAATTGCCTTCTCTGAGGCACGTGAACTTCGGTGATGAAAATCCAAGTCCCCCACTGCTCCACATTACTGACATTAAAAGCCTTTTCCAAAAAAAGATTGTATACAAATTTAGCATCTTAAAATTTAAATACTAAATATTACTTTTGATTGCTGTAGACTATATACTTTTAAATGATTACTGCACTCCTGGTGTTAGAAAAGACCAGGAAGAAAATTTGAGCAACAGGAACTACTTCTTTCCAAATATCCCCTCTATGTTCTTAGTGATTTCCATCCTGTGAACTTTCAAGCTAAAACATAGAAAACAGATGCTATTTTCTTCTAGATAAGGATGAGAGAAGGACTTGCAGGGAATTAGTGAGTGCTTATGAGATTCTGGCAGTTCAGGGATCAACAGGTAATGTCTGGGGGAAAGATGCTTTTTGGTGAGGTTTAAGCATGGTTTTAATAATGTAGAAGTTTTCTGTGAGGAAGCTGATTGAAACATTTTAAAAGTTCTATCCTAATAACCTGCAGAGGGGGTACATGTGATTCAGCAACCTGTGTGAGTTGTGAGTACTTGAATCAGTGTTTTCAACCACTATTTCCCAAGCCCACTGTGACTGCATATTAGCACTTGAAACAACTCAGGGTGTCACAAGGAATGGTGTCTGGAGAGCAGCCAGTAATGGGCAAATTATATGGTTGATTCTGTGTTAAAGGACAGATGGCCCAGCAGAGAGCAGCTTACCTGTCCTGCAGTGCTGTCATGAAAGTGGCCACTTGGGTCTTCCCTCCTCTAGAATTTGTGCCATCTGCACGGCAGGTGTAGCAGCAGTGTGAGGCTGTAAGGTAAATGGACAAGTAATCATCATCAACAGTCAAGGACTCTTTTAAGGAACAATTTGTGGAAATTATAGCTTGACTTCAGCTAGACTGGCCCACTGCACCTTAAAATTTGCAGTAGAGGTAGTGAATTTGTTCTGGAATAGTCTGAGGAAACTTCATGAGCACTATCCCAGCTGCCTTCTTACTGATGTTTCTTCTGTCTGGACAGATCATTAGAGAGCACTCAGGCTAAGATTCAGCTGAATCTGTATGTATGGCAAATAATATTTTCTTCAGGATAGTGTTAAAGTACAAAATGCTCTGTGTCTAAAAATGAGATTATGCCACTATCAGCATATTCTAAAGAGGAAGGCAGAAATGAGTGGGAAACAAAATTCTTCTGGAATAATGGAATTGGTTTTCAGTAGTAAGCTTTCATTTCTGTGATTTGCAAAGGTCTAGGCACTTCCCTAAAGGTTCTGCTTCTTTTCAAAGTAACAACAAAATTGTGTGTTCCCTCAATACCTGTTTTACAGACCTAGGATGAGCTTTCTGGAAAGCTCCAGGCTTGTTCACCCTAGATCTGTTTTCCACCTCGTATCTAGAATGTTATGTGCAAGGTCCAGGACTCATGATGTTCTCATCATTTTTATGCCAACTGAAGGCTCTTGAATTCTGAGGTTTTTGACATTCTGCTGCTTTGTGCACAGCAGTGGAAAAGGACCTGGAAGCAGGAGCACTCAAGTAAGAGCTGGGCATAGTGGGGTGATGTCACTCCTCCGTGGCCTGCAGGGTCAGATCCCTTTGCTGGGGAGGGCTCTTGTGCTGCCCTTCCTCAGAGCCTGCTAGCACGTTGTGCTACTTCACAAGTGTGCTCAGTTAAACATCACAAAAGTTGTGTGTCCTGTTGGCCTCAAGCATTTTTGGAAGCAGATCTCTTCCATTATTTTGTTGGGGTTTATGCTGAGTAAGTCCAAATGAGTAGCTGTGCTTACAATTGCGCTACAAATGATATCCATTAATGTCGGGAAATGAAAACAGAAGGCAGGCATGTTCCCAATAATTAAGAACATGCACGACTGCCTGGCACAGAGCCCTAAATTAGAATATATTTGCTGTTACAGTGGTGAAGGACATTTATAAAGGTCCATACATGGACAGAGCCTTAGACAAGCCACAGTCAAAATAACTGTTTACAGCTCAGTCATTTGGTGGTGATTGTGTGTTGTGACTCCAATTATAAATTATGAGTAGAATCTTCCTTGTAAATTTACCTTGTCTGTAAGAAATTCATGGAAGGCTGAATCCTAAACTCTGAGAGGTGTCTGCTGTTTCTTCTGCTGTTCCCTTAGGTACTGCAACACTTTCTGTTTATCATTATATATAAAAACTCTCTTTCTACAGCAGTTTTAAGTTTAGCTAAACAGCTTAAGGTATTTACTACATGATAAAAGAACTATTTAATAGGCATAGATATTTTCAATCCTTTTAGGTCTTCTACCTCTCCTTCCTGAGAACGCTTACCCTAGATTTTCTAAAGGGAGATTTTCTTTCATTTGTTTATTTTGAGGTTGGCCAGCTGTGCTGTGGGCTTTTTCACATAGAATCATACACCCTGTAAGGAATAAAAAAAGGAAAAATTACTTTAAATCAATGTTAAGCCTGCTGATAGCAATGATGGAAACTTGATGAAAAGTCTGATATGTCTTCTGCATTCCACAACAAAATCCTTCAAAATGCCATGTCCTGACATGCTGAGAGTGCTCCCAACCAGCTGTGACAAGCTGCCACATCCTGGCTGTTCCCAGCATGAGCCACAGCCCTTGTTGCAGTCAGTCTCTGGAGTCAGGGCTAGGTCCTCACCAGCCAACACAGAAATCTGGTGGATAGAAGATCACAATGACAATTCCTAAACAGGTTGGTTTATTTTGACAAAATACATGCAGAGAATGTGCTTAGAAGGACTTGTCAGAGGAGAAAAGCAAGTTTGACAGCTCCAGTGACAGACTAATTCAGCACCATTGACACGTCTGAAAAGCGAGTGCTCCCACTGATGCACCTTTCTGTAAATAAGAATTTAAGAGGCCGCTCTGGTGACAGCCTTCCTGGGGTGGCTGCGTTTGACAAAGGGAGCGATATTCCTGTTTGATTTGTACAGAGATCCTGCAGCCTGTAAATAACTGTACATGGAATTCATCAGCCTGTGGAGGTAAAACAAAAAGTGTTGAAAGCGGGAGGACGGCTGTGTGAAATTTGGGGGCATCATAAACACAACTCTAACCCAGACCACTTTCCTACTCACCTACTTGTATCACAATTGCTGCTATTGTAAATATACAGGAATATACAGAGTACCAAGAATTTTTATATAACCCACACGTAATCTTTTTATATTTATATTAAATTCTGTATTCTGCAAACAGCCTAATAATTACAGCTTTATATGCGTATCATTTTGTAGCATTTGTTACCTCAAAAGACAACCAAACCCAATACTTCAGTGCCTTGTGTATTTTAAACAGATTAACATATAAACTGGGGGGAAAGAAAATAGATTGTACTCCGCTGGTTTTAACAAAGCTTTGTATTATTGTTAGGGTTCTCTTCAGTTAAAATACATACAGCCACAAGTTGTGGAAATAACTGAAAGCTTACAATTTTGGAGGTTTTTTTAGAGCATGCATGTTTTGAATTTGTAATATATTGGAATTTCTCTCAAATGCATTCTTTCAAGTTAACTTTGACTTATATATTCATATCTATTTCAACGGACATCCCAATACCTGTCAAAAATACGTAGCATTTAAAAAAAAAAATGCCAGTAACTGATATTTAGGTTTGGGGATTAAATTAACACTGTTTTCAGCATGTCACAATTTTCATTAGAGCCATAAAATTTTTATCATGTTAAAGAAAGTCTTTATCAATTATCTTCCCAAGCATGGCCTTCTAGCCCACAAATGACTTGGTAATAGTGTTGTAAAAAAATCTTTGAGGCTGTCATCACTTCAAACCATTGTACTTTAACAATTTTCTGGTCATGAAACTGCAATGTTTCCTTGTGTTAACAAAACCAAAGGCTTGTTTGAAGTAACTGGTATTTTGTATAAATATTTGTACAGATAACAGACTCTGCTTTTGTACTATAGATTATGTGGATTTTGTTTTATAATAAATGCTTTAAAAAATGCTTAGCAGTCATTTTATGAGCAAAGCTGTTTCATCACCTACAGTAGAGACAACCAACCAATATCACAACAGTTTTAGATACTATTTAAGATAAGGATACTGCTGTCTCCTTGGTTTTAATTTTTAGATGTATGATAACAGTGAGAGCTGGAGAGCAAATCACCTTTAGAATTAGAGTTGTTAGCTATTAGAACTTACCACAAGTTTGTCAATATCATGACCTTACAACAATTGTTATACTCCATAGGAACAATCTCAATTGTTCTGACTAGGCCAGATCTGAGCTGTATTTCTTTTTTAAGTTGTATGATATCTTTTAAATGGATGCTATAGGATGTCAAAGTTAACTTTTTAAATAATGGCTTCTCTTTTTTTATGGTGAACATACTTGAAAACTAGTTCCAATGAGTCTAATTTTGTCTTCATTTGTATAGTCAATATTGGTGGTCTCAGATTTGTGAGATTTAACCTAGAAGTCAAAATTACTTCTGGTGGAGATATCCTTTTTCCTGTGTGCTGATGAGATGGGACTCAGATTGAAGTGTTTCTGAGCAGTTATCAGCAGTCATGGTGAAGTCCAGTCCTGTTTATTCTGATTTTTCCAGGCTAGAGAAAAAAATAGAGCATACACATTCAGATACCAGCTTGTTTCCTACAAAGTTCTTCCAGGTTTTGCATTATACTGAACCAGAAAATGTCAAAAGATTTTTCCTCTTAGCCACATTATCCTTGCTAATAATGCTTTAATATAAATGGGCCCTGGAGCAGCCATATGATGACTGCCTAGACCTAGTGATTTACACCATCACTGATTAGGATGGATTTGTAGCTTGAAGGAAAATGACAAATCTGCTGGTGCTCTGCTCAGCTTGGAACAGGCCTTTCATCATCCTTTTGTGTTGGGCCAAATTACTCAGAAGTACAGAAAGATTTTTAGGATTTCATATGGCATGAAGTAGAACAACCCCACTCTTCTTTCCGGAACTTCTGGCTGTAGCTTGGCTTTCTCTCCTGAAAAGATGCATAAGGTCCTCTTAGAGTGGACTTTGACACTGGCTGGTTGCAGGGAGGTGTCTGTTACATGTATCCCACATAATAATACAGATCTCTGCACAGCATACCTATCATTCTGACTCCTCCAGTGCCTTAATCCCAGATGTTTCTTGAAACCAGAGGACATGGTATTTTCTTTTTGCTCCAGAAAAGCTTGCTCAGCTGTCTGGATGGATCTTTGTAGCCTTACACTCCCACAGCTTACAGATTTCTTAATGTTGTAATTGAGAAATAAAGCTCTGACACATTGTTTGTCTGAATGTATTCCCAGGGCTGAACCTGTGGTCACAGGGAAGGGTGACTAATTCCAAATCTGCTGATCCTGATCTTTTATGAAATTGACCCAGCTGTTACTCTCCGCAGCAGGACAGAGCAAGGTGTTTGGCTGATTTTGTGCAGCATCACTGAAGATTGAACTGAATAACTGTCTGGATGTGCTAGGAAGTGGCTAAAGTGGTTGAGATGCATTCTGCACAATGCAGAATTCTGCCACAGCATGGGTGGCTCATAGCTGCACTCAAGAAGAGCCTGGTGCTAACCTATTCAGCTCCAGAGATCTCCTTCCATGCTTTATGCCAGCCTCAAAGCTTCTCTACACATGGTGGTTGCTCCAGAAGACAAACACCATAAACAACAAATGCCTTTCCTTTCTCCTCCTTTATTGCTGAGCAGACATTTTATCACATGGAATATATCCCTTTCTTTGGTCAGTGTGGGGGATGTGCCCTCAAAAGATCCTGCCCACCCCCCAACCTACTGGTGAGGTGTTA